GTTTCCTGGGAAAACCAGATCAAGGATCACGGATCAAGGATCAGTTCAGAATGAATTAAATTAATTTATAGGCATGATTTATTGCTCATCTACGTGACTCGATCAGTTAAGATCTCCCGTATGCTAAAGCGAAAGTAAGAGAAAATACTAAATACTGAGAAATCCGTACCACTTTGTGGAAGTGTCAATTTTCGTCTACCGACTCTTAGAACTGCTATTGAAGACTGACAGCTACAGAGCGGGTTTACTTGTGCATGTGCTATATTCACAGGAAATGTCTAGATTATCCTGAGTGTCGATAGGTAATTGCGTCCCTGACTTCCGGTGCAATTTCAAAACATGAAGCCACTTTTGCATAATTGTGTCTGTCGTTAGCAAGAATGTTTGTATTGTTTATCATTGATAAGAGAGTGAGATACACGATTAAAGTAAAAATCAACGCCTGTCTGTCAACAGCGATGTTATCTTTTGTTATGCTATATTAATCACCAGAAATTCTGGCGGCTCGCAGAAAAACATGATTTACATGTACAGTGCAAGAGTAATGTCATCAAAATCATTGCAGATTTTTGAAGCACTTCTGCTTTTGCGCACCATGCTTAACCGTTGTTGCGGTGCCACTGCTAAAGCTATCGAGAAACATAGCATCGCCAAACGTCAAGGTCCTTTATTTTGCTTACTGGTGACAGAAAAAAGAAAAAAGAAATCTTTCTCATTAATCATTAGGTACTCTCTTTAAAAAAAGATAATAATAAAACTAAGAACTGATTCAATTCTCCAGTGTGTGCTCATGAGATTTTGACTTGTTGCCTCCATATATACTCCAGGGGACTCACAACAACAACTCAGTGGGGCGATACAATTTTATCACTTTCCGAATCACGTCTCTCGTCAAATTTCACCGGAAAAATTACTAAAGCGTTCTCTTCTAAGCAAGTGATTCTTCAGATGCATTCCACCTGCTTTTTCTTTAAGGATACGAGGTCAGTAAAAATTTGAAGAGATGAAGTTAAAGCAGCTGAAAATTTGCGGTTCACTCCGGCAGTCACCAAAAACGGCTTCGTGTTTTGAAATTGTACCGGAAGTCAGAGACAAAATCACCTGTGAATATAGCATATGCACAATTAAACCCGCTCTGTAGCTGTCAGTCTTCAATAGCAGTCCTAATGGTCAATAGGCAAAACTTGACAATTGCACAAAGTGGTATGGCTTTCTCAGTATTTAGTATTTTCTCTTATTTTTGCTTTAGCATACGGGAGATCTTGACTGAGTCACGTAGATGAACAATGAATCATGCCCATTAATTTATTCAATTTATTTGATTTATTTTGAACAGATCCTCGCTTCTTGATCCTTGATTCTTGATCCAGTGATCCCTGATACTGTTTTTCCTACAAAACCATTCATAGTCTAATTAACGAATTCTCTCACTCCCAGAACCTACATATTCCATTGTGAGTCAGTTGCAATAATTTGATTCTACATTGAGATACAAACTTCTACTTGATAAATTTGAGTACTCTCATTACCTGTTTAGTAGTTAATGCTTGTTGATCACTTCTGGGAATCATGGGTCAGCTTCACTGAGATAGCTACTGTCACTAACAGCTGACCTTTCCTGAGCTGCTCTAACACAGAGTCTGACTGCTCTTGTCCACAGGATCTTCCTAAACCTCCAAGCCAATACAACAATCTTGAACAAGTTAGAGAAGACAGTCCAGAGGTGCTGTTCTACAAGGTGGCAAGGGAACCTGGCAGTGAGCTGTTTTACTTCAAGTCTTATCTCAAAGATAAACGACGCATCCTCGGTTTTGATCAATCTGGAGAACCTTTAAACACATCTCAAGTAGATTCAAATGGGGAGGAAAGTTGGTTTTCGGTGATATAAAATCTCTTGTAAGTGCAAAATTAAAGTTACAGTTAAGAGATATTTTCTAAACAGTAAATTCCTGTGAGGAAATTGTTTTGCTTATTTTAAGCTGTCATATCCAGGGTCAGTTTGACCACAAAGCTCATGAACTTTAGTATATAGTAACACATAGATTTTAATGTCTGTTTTAGGATAGAATAACTATTGATTGAAAATGTAATTTTATACATCTTGGGAAAATATTTTTTCATAAAACAAGAATTAAAATTAGGGAATGTTTTGCTAAATATGTTATAATGAATATCACTTTGATGCCAAAGTAACTTAAAAAAAATATATATTTAAAGATGAATTTTTGAGAAAAGTGACCGATTTTGAGCTATTAGTGAATTACAGTTTATAATTAATTTGAGATATGTCATATTCTTGTAATAAACTATCAAAATACTTAACTATAGATTTTTCATTTTGGTACTGATTCTCTGCAAAAGCTAGAAAAGGTTACTGGACTATTTTAAAAATAGAAAAACCTCTGATCAGTTTCTGTAAGACATGCATGCAGTTGTGAACATGTTGGTAAAAATCTTGAAACAAAAAGATCTTTGATAAATCAATTTATGATTTACTCAACATTGTCGTTGATCGAATCAAACATTGTGTGACAGACCGAAAAGAAAATATGAAATATGAATATGAAGGTCTACCAATCCAGGTTAAAATTGTCTTTTACTGTAATAAATAGCATTTTCCTTCTTAGACATTGTTTTCAATTTCATAAGAAATCATTTTAAGCGACAAAACTTACTGTTTAAAAAAGAAAAAAACAACTGTCATTTAAAACTCAACATATCAGTCATTCAGCTGTTTGCTTTACAACATTATTGATATTGCTAGGTTGTAACGGTGAAGATATTGGAGGTAAACTTCATTACCTTGCAGTACAATTACTCTATGAATATTATGAATATAAGAATAAATGCCGCGAGCTTGTAGTTCTGAATTGATTGTTCAAATGTTGTGCATGAATTGTAAGATACTCACCTCTCCGAGGATTTGATTTCTATGCAACCTGCAATGTGTGCCAGACAAAAACTAACTTTATGAGGCATTCAACATTTCAAAGTAAAATCCTTCGATAAAACCTACACTTACCATCCATACTTTTTGCTCCGACGATCGCGTTCGAAGAGCGTACTCAAAACTAGTTGCCAGACCCTTTTAGTTCCCTCTACTCCGCCATTTTGAATTCTCAGGCGGGTTACCGCTGTACACCCGTTTCCCGTTCGCCATTCCCCGTTCCCCGTTACTAGTTTTAGTAACATCCACGGTGGGTCCTAAAAACCCTGAAGGAAGTTGTAAGCTGAATATTTCGTATCTTTTGACCGACTACTGCGACACTTTTTACAAGCACCCTTTGCTTTAAAAGTTGTTCTTATACACCGAATGAAAATATGGGATCCAATTTGAATTGCCATTGTTCTGGACTGACTAGCCTCGTCTTCACGTGGAAATACAAAAGGATTATTACATGTGTGAGAGGCTAGTCAGTCCAGAACAATGGCAACTCAAATTGGACGCCATATTTGCATTCGGTGTATAACGAATTATTTTTAGCAATGTGGATAGAATTTTGTTTTAACTTTTTATTTACGTTAAATACCTCAACTTTTCCTTAATTTCTTTCAAATCAGGGCAGGAAACTCACAATGCATCGAAAAATGTAACTCTTGTTCTTGTATGTTCAAGGTCATAGTTGCCCAACTCCTAATTACCTTTGACCTCTTTTCAAAGCGAGTCTTGGTTCTCATCCTTTCTTATAAATATAAGTTTTCATTCACATGCAAATTGGACTCATATTCATACGAACGGCTGAACACCAGACCTCGTTTTGAAAAAGAGACCAATTGTAATTAGGAAATGGCCTATTAGAATTGACATTTTCGGACAAAAGAAATTAAAAAAAAAAATTCAACAAAGGCGTACGGCTCACGACAACCCGTCCGATCCGGCCATCTTCCCATCGCCAATAAAGCCAGTAACAACGAGCTTTTGTTAAGGGAGTGAACAATTTGATTCTCGACAAAACGGCTGGTGATTTGACGAAATCGCTTCAATTCATGTTGATAAGAGATGATCAGGTCATGAGAAAGACTCTTCATATATATTTCCTATGGTCTCGTTGCTTGGGGCCAAGCCGCGAATACTCATCTAAAGAAAATCGTCATTTTACAAAAGCGGGTTCTTCGTCTAATGTACTTTTCCGATTATACATCTCACAGTGCTCCTCTTTTTAGTCGTTCGGGAATTCTACCGATAAAAATGCTTTACTTCAAATTGGTTGCCTCTCTGTTACATGACATCAAAAATCGCTGTGCTCCTCCCAATATTTCTGAACTTTTTACTCACTCTGAACAGGTTCATTCCTACTCTACTCGTTTCTCAGTAGCTGGAAGCTTTTATATAAAACAGGCGAGAACAAATCATCAGTTGTTTTCCTTTTCTAGAGTTGGTGCGAAAATATGGAATGGCATCCCCCCTGAAATTCGTAAGCTAAAGAAAGCACCTTTTAAACGTGAGCTAACTCACTTGCTTTTGAAAATTCTTGAAATTGAGGAGATGAATGTTGACTTGCGCTACCTTGACCTTTCTAGCTTATATTTGTATTTCAACTGATTAGCTTTCTCTTTGACCTGTTAAAAACTCCCTTGTGTGACTGGCTCAGTTAAAACCTTTAACATGATTATTACTACTATTATTTANATTCAACCTTCCACCCTCGAAGGCCATATTGGTAGAAAGAATAAACGCCGACCTGAGAGGACCCCCCTCCTTACCTGCTCTGCTCGGAATCGGAGAGCTTGCCCCAGAGGAGGGAGGGGGTAGGGAAGATGTTAAGACCCGTCATGTATTTTACAAGATTACACCTTTTCGAATTCAGTCGTGATTGATTTACTGATGGCAAGAGAGGCAAGAAAAAAAAACCAATGCTCTAATTTTTTGTAATCTCAAGTGGAAGGAAACTATACAAGAGGAATTAGAATAAGACGAATAAAAATAATGTGAAGTAACTTTCACAAACAAAAGCATCTCTGCAAGTCAGTTTCGGAAGCGAAATCGAGGAATCGTAACACACGGAAAAGCAATGGTTCCCAATGGTTCCACATCATTAAACTAGTCGCATGACTGAAAACGGCCAACAATAATCACTGAAAGGATAACTCTCTGTGAGCAGTCGAAACGTCGCGTTCTACATCTAGTGACTTTCTCGTGAGACAACAGAACATATTTATATTATCAATTCTCGTTTAGTTATTAAAATTTATCTAACGAATACATCAACTTAACCTCACCCGTCAATTTACGACTTGAAAATGTTAGCGAGAAGTGAATAATGCGAAAAAAAACATGCAAACAATCAAAACGGAAAAGGAAACCCAATCGGTCATTTCTCTTCAACAAAAGCGTGACTGTGTCTTGATAATAGCTCAGTTTCTAACTATATTTCGCTTCAGTTCATAAGACCACGCAGCGACATCCATCTACCATGCGAAGCGATGCAACATCCCATGGAAAGCCATAATTGACAAAAGTGGTCGAGAAATTTTTCTCCGAGTCGAGAATTTTCTCTTGGAGTCGAGAATTTTTTCCCCGAGTCGAGAATTTTTTCGCCGAATCGAGAATTTTCTTATCGAGTCGAGAATTTTTTCTTCGAGTCCAGAATTTTCTCTTCGAGTGGAGAACTTTTCTCTTAAACTCGAGAATTTTTCCTGACTCGAGAGTTTTTTCTTGGAGTCGTGAATTTTTCCCGAGGCGAGAATTCTTCGAGTCGAGAATTTTCGCCGAGTCGAGAATACCCAATGTTCCTTGCTGCCCTTTCCCTCTGTTTTGTCAAGCAGCATGGCGGCCTGGAAGTCACGGTCATTGTGTGCTTGTGGCCTTTTTACACGCCGTAGTTGTTCTTCAAGTCACTGAAGGTAATATGGAGGACCTGGAGAGGTTTCTTTTGTCGATAAGAGATTGTATTTACCGTATAAAACAAGATACAGCTTCCGTCAACAATGGAAATATGGAATATTTACGCGATCAGTTAGAAGGCTTTGTTCAGATTATCGCGTCGTTTTCTTTGGTTCTCGCAAATGTCCAAGGCTTTTAGTCATTACAAATGGATGATGGACAGCAGAATTTTCCCCTTCGGTGTTTACTGTTATTACTGTGATATATTATCATAATCCCCACAGATGGGTTATACCTCAGAGGTCACAAGATAGATTGAATTGCAGTCTTATAACAACCGGGGGGGGGCAAGCTTGATAGATAGGTCTTGAGCAGAGGCGCCAAACGTGAACCGTTTTCGGGAGAAAAAGACAACGAGGATGGATGACAGTTTGAAAGTTGGGCTTTCCAAGGGAACCCAAAAAAATTCAATAAACACCCTCTGAACTTCCTTCATTGTGTATTTGACAGCGATCTGCTTCACTGCATAGACCTTATTCATAAATGGCAGCTGATTGATTTTTCTTTTGTTATTGTGCAAATTAGCCTTCAACGCCTCACATTACAGCAAGAATTCTTTTCAATTTAGGATATGCAAACCAGGCTTGGTGGGCTAATTTGCAAAACAACAAAAGACAAATAAAACAGCCGCCATTTATGAATGTAGTCTATATACTACTTTTAATGTATTCATGTATTTCTTCAGCATTACAGAAAGCTAGATAAAAAGTCCAACTGATAAACAGATTTATTGTTTACAGAGTATTAAAAAATGAAAGGTACATTATTAAGGTACTTACAACAAGGTGAAATTACCCAATATCTTAGTAGCACCCATAATGGACTCTCAGAGGTCTCAAACTGTGGGAAGTAAAGTCCACAGATATGAAATGTTTGAATCACCTACATCTATATTTTCCCCGCCCCTATCCCCTCTTACCTGTGATGGAAGTACACATTCCTGTATGCCATTAACAAAGCACTGCAAGACTGTACTTGCTAGGTTGTTAGTGAAGCACTTCAAGTGAACTATTGCTCTACTATACCCATCAATGCAGCCGCGCAAAACAATCCTCCAGTGGATTAGCTTGTGATTTGAGTCAATATGCCACAAATGATTTGGTTTTTTAACGTTCTAGAGACGTCTTTGAATTGAATATCTGCACCTAATGGCACGGTTTACAGGATCAATTCTTTGTAAGGCTTCCCGGATTTTCCACCTCTGAGCAAAAATGCCTCGTGCTCTTAAAGCTCCTCGTACGTACGTTTCACCAGAGAATGGTGTTAATCGTAAAATATCTCTTACATTCCTATCTAGGCCCTCTGCATCAATATCGCTGTAATCAACTATACCTAATTCTGTTCTTCTGGACAGAGTTCTGGTACTTATACCAAGACGCTTTGCGATAGCTGTCCACTGCATACCGGTGCGGCGAAGTACTTCAATTTGCTCTGCTGTTACGCTGTATCTTGGTCTACCTAATGAACATCTTTCTGGGAACTTAGGTACATTAC